AAGACTTTTAGGAGAGCTGTCAGATTTTAACATTATAGAGTTACATAATCATTTCATTCTCTACTGCATGCCAAAAAAGAATGGTTGAGAATTAATGAGTGAATCCAATTGCGTAGTTTCTCTGCCAAGTCTAGTCGGTACCATCCCTGTTCATTCATCAGAAAAAGACTTCTATACATTTTATCTATAGTATGATCATTTGAACATTTTTTTTGTATTGTAGAGTTATAAAAGAAGCACTTCTTCCAGTTTATCTTTTAGTTGTCTAAAATTCATAAAAATCTATGCAATCACTGTTTCCCAGGCATGCCACATACACACCTGCTTCCCTTATCTGTCACACTGTTTTATTCTTTGGAATGCTCTTACACTTTTTCTCTGAATGTTTTATTTCAATGGCACCCAATCTCCATGGCCAGGCGTAAGCAAGCACTTACCACTCTTTCCAAATTTTCTATCACTGTCATCACCACCAAGCACTTGTACAACAAACATTATACAGATTAGTGTGACGCCAAGTGTTTGTGAGGAGGTGCTAAAATATAATACACACATGCACATTTCAGATTTAAGACTTAGATACAAAACATGTAAACAGGGTAAAAAAAGGACAATTATCAAACATAGCACAATTTGGTCTAAATTATGTAGCATAATAGCAAAGACAAGCTTACATAAGTAATCAATTTAAATTTGTACATAACTCTTGCTTTGTTAATTAAATTGTCTTCTCCATAGAGGGGAACAGTGTTATCTACTTTCTTTTTTGTTTTTTTGTTTTTAATTTTTTTTAATGTTTGTTTATTTTTGAGAGAGACAGAGTACGAATGGGGGAGGGGCAGAGAAAGAGGGAGACACCGAATCTGAAGCAGGCTTCAGGCTCCAAGCTGTCAGCACAGAGCCCGATGTGAGCCTCGAATTCACAAATGGAACAGTGAGATCATGACATGAGCCAAAATCAAACACCTAATTGACTGAGCCACCCAGGAGACCCTGTGTTATCTACTTTCTATCCCTAATTTCTAGGCAACATTTTCTACAGATTCAAAGTTTATTATCTACCTACTATGGGCAAAGCATTATTCTAGGCAATTTCACAGACACTGTTTTATCTTTTTATCTTTATATGATCACTCAAGGAATTGTTTATTATAATAAGAGTCAGCAAAATCACATCTTTTTACACTGCTTTTCAGATTCCAATGCAGATTCTGTGTTTGATGTCACAATTTAATATGCTATTTCTTTTGGATTAATAATATTTATAAGTACATGACATTAAATGTATTCTCAGTATGATAAAAGCTCAAGATTATTATTACACTAAATTGTTTTGTTTTCAAATAAACAGTATTCTCTTTACCTACCCAGGTATATAGTGACTGAAGTGAGACTAATGCTTAGTTCAGAATAGTAATTAAACTCTGAGGAAAAGGCAAATTCACAGAATGTATGTAAAAGACTTCTGAGAAGGGAAATTTGTGGAAACATATCACATGACAATAGATCGAAAATAAACTCCAAACATTTCTTTCCTATCCACTGTATGTCCTATCCACTATAATTTGCTTTCAACTAGAATAAAAATGTAGATATAATCAGCTTTTAAAATATAACAAGGAATTTTATTTTTTTTATTTTTTTATTTTTTTTAAAAATTTTGTTTTTCAACATTTATTTATTTTTGGGACAGAGAGAGACAGAGCATGAACAGGGGAGGGGAAGAGAGAGAGGGAGACACAGAATCGGAAACAGGCTCCAGGCTCTGAGCCATCAGCCCAGAGCCCGACGCGGGGCTCGAACTCACGGACCGCGAGATCGTGACCTGGCTGAAGTCGGACGCTTAACCGACTGCGCCACCCAGGCGCCCCAACAAGGAATTTTAAAGTATATTGCTGAAAGACTTTCATGCTAGGCCAGCATTTTGTGATTAACTGTGTCTTGTTAGTTATTGCAAACTCATATATAAATCTGACTAAAACACTGTGCTGTTAATATTTTCATACATAACTGACCAATACTATCATTTTCTTCAGCCTTGGCACAGATCAATAAACTAATTTTCTACACAACATGGAGTTTTTATGTCTTTTGAAAAATGTATTGTAGTCCTTATCTACTATGGTACTCCAATGCGTTTTAAACAATATACATGTAATAACATCCTTTAAAAAGGAATTCTTGTCAAAAAATCTTCAGAGAAAAGTGCACTTGATTTTTGAGCCTGTATGACATACAATGAATTCTAAATAACACTAAAGAAAATAAAATAGAGTTGGCTTTAGATTTTAAAATTGATAATTAACCCATCTAAAATCTCTAATTATCTTAAATTTCTCAATTCCTCTGGGATGATATTGTTTTGTTTCAAACTTTGATCATTTAATTTTAGATTATTAAACTTTCATAAGTTCCTTTGAAACTAGAGAGTATAACCGGTTAAAGTTTTTATAATATAGTAATACCTAAGTATTGTTACTTAGTAATAGTAATGTGATGAATGTGATGAACACTGTGATTCTCAAGTTATATCGATAAACTGTGGTATATAGTTAGCTCCAGGGGCGCCTGGGTGGCTCAGTCGGTTAAGTGTCCGACTTCATCTCAGTTCATGATCTCATGGTCCGTGACTTCAAGCCCCGTGTCAAGCTCTGTGCTGACAGCTCAGAGCCTGGAGCCTGCTTCGGATTCTGTTTCCCCCTCTCTCTGACCCTCCCCTGTTCATGCTCTCTGTCTCAAAAATAAACAAACGTTAACAAAAATTTAGTTAGCTCCAAATGATAAGAGAATCCTTGAAGCACGTTTGGTTTAATTTTCAACTTTAGAGAAATAAAATAGTTCTACTCAGAAATAGTTCTACTCTCCAGAGATTACATGCCCTAAAAGGTCTTCTTGTCAGAGAATTAATTTTATGTGTCCTCAATTGTAATGAGAAGATATTTTATAATTAAAACTGTTCCTTGATTTGTCTCTGTCTTTATTATCCCTTTCTTGTTTCTTTTGTTTCTTAGATTCCACATATGATGGAAATCTTTTGGTATTTGTTGTCTTTCTCTGACTGAGAGATGCTAAATAACCATGGTCAGAGAGGATAACCTGTCTTCTTCCTGACCATCGAGGAAAAGCTCTGTTTTTCTCCATTGAGGATGATATTAGTTATGGGTTTTTAAAAATACCTTTATGATATTGTGGCATGTTCGCTCTATCCCTACTTTGTTGAGGATTTTTAACAAAATGGATGCTGTACTTTGTCAAATGCTTTTCTTGCATCTGTTGAGAGGATCATATGGGTTCTTCCCTTTTCTTTTATTAACATAGTATACCACGTTGATTGACATGTGAATATTGAACCACTCTTGCAACTCAGGAGTAAATCCCATTTGATCGTGGTGAAAGATTTTTTTAATGTACTGTTGGATTGGATTTGCTAATATTTTGTTGAGAATTTTTGAATCTATGTTTATCAGGAATATTGGCCTGTAGTTCTCTTTTTTAGTGGAGTCTTTGGTTTTGGGATCAGGGTAATGCTGGCCCTATAGAATGAGTTTGGAAAATTTCCTTACATTTCTATTTTTTTGGAACAGTTTGAGAGGAATAGGCATTAACTCTTCTTTAAATGCTTTTTAGAATTCCCCTAACCCTAACCCTAAACCTAACCATCTGGAAAAGTCTCTAAGCTGCAGGATACCAGGCACATACCCTCCCTCTAACCCTAACACTAACCCCACATTACCCTAACCATAATCCAACCCCTAACCCCTCGTGCCTAATTCCTATTCCTAACCCTAAACCTAACTCTCTGGAGAGGCCTCTGAATTGCAGGATACCAGGCATATACTCTCACTGTAACCCTAACTATAACCCTAAACCTAAATCTAGATCTGGGGCGGGGGGAGAGAAGAAGATGGGGTACATATGTGCAATTGGAATATTACTCAGCCATAACAAAAGAATGAACTGTGCCATTTGCAAAGACATGGATGCAGGTAAAGTGTATCATGCTAAGTGAAATAAGTCAGTCAAAGACAAATACCATATGATTTTACTCATATGTGGAATTTAAGAAACAAAACAACCTAGCAAAGGGAACAAAGAAAAAGATACAGAAAGGGAAATCAAGAAACAAATTCTTAACTATAAAGATCAAATTGATGGTTACCAGAGGGGAGGTGGATGGTGGGGGGAGGGACTAAATTGGCGATGAAGATTAAGGATTGTACTTATGATGAATACCGGGTGTTGTTTGGAAGTGTTGAATCAGTATATTCTACACCTGAATCTCATATTACATTGTTCACTAACTAGAATTTATGAAAAGATACTCAAGAATATCATCATAAGGAAAAAACAAGTGAAAACTAAAATTAACAACACAGGAAACAACAGTTGTTAGCAAGGACAGGAGAAAGAGGAATGCTCTTATGCTGTTGGTGGGAATGCAAACTGGTACAGCCACTCTAGAAAACCGTTTGGAGGTTCCTCAAAAAATTGAAAACAGAACTACCTTAAGACCCAGAAATTGCACTACTAGGTATTGACCCAAAGGATACAAATTACTGATTTGAAGGGACACATACACCCCAATGTTTACAGCAGCATTATCAATAGTCAAATTATAGAAAGAGCTCAAAATGTCCCTCAATTGATGAATGCATAAAGAAGTTGTGTGTGTGTGTGTGTGTGTGTGTGTGTGTGTGTGTGTGTATTTACAATGGACTATTACTGAACCATATAATGGAATGAAAATCTTTCCATTTGCAATGATATGGATGGAACTAGAGTGTATTATGCCAGGCAAAATAAATCAGTCAGGGAAAGACACATAACATATGATTTCATTCAAATGGGGAATTTAAGAAACAAAACAGATGAATATAGGGAAAAAAGAGAGAGAGAGAAACAAGTCATAAAACACACTCAACTATAGAGAACAAACTAAGAGGTGCAGGAGAGGAGGCGGGCAGGGGGGATGGGTTAAATGGGTGATGGGTATTAAAAAGAACACTTGTGACGAGCACTGGCTATTGTATGTAAGTGGTAAATTGCTACATCCTACACCTGAAATAAACATTGCATTGTATGTTAACTAAATGGAATTTACATAAAAACTTAGAAGAAAGAAAAAGAGAATTAGTAACATTTCTAAAAATCATTGTGAAGATAGAGATTAAACACAGAACAGCCAATTGAATATTGATTTAAATAATGTTTACAGCTCCAATCTCCTCATAGGCTCAGCTTAGTGGATGGCTGTCTTGTTTTCTTACCCAAGCAGAAGTCTCAGTCAATAATCTCTGGTGAGATCTCTCAAAAGCAGGATAATAGGCACAAACACTAACTGTAACACTAATAACAACCTTAACCCTAAATACAACCTTAACAGTTAACACTAACTCTAATCCTAAACATAACCCTCAACCTATTCCAAACTGTAACCCCTAACCCTAACCCTAACCCACTGGAGAGGCCTCTGAACTGCAGGATATCAGGCAAATAATCTCACCCTAACCCTAACTCTAACCTAGATCTGAGAAAGTGGGTTCAGAACACACAATAAGAAAAGCTGAGAGCAGTCTAGTTATTCCGGTGAAGACTCCAAACATTTAAGAATTGGTATTATTTCCAAAAATGGGTTTGAAGGTAGAGATAAATACAGAATGAAAAAATGAATATCAATTTAAAAAGTATTTAGAGCCACAAATCCCCTCCTTGCCTTAGCTGGGTAAATGGCTGCCATTTCTTTTCTCATCTCAGCAGAAGACTTGGGTTTTATTCTCTGGAGAAGTCACTGAACTGCAGAACGCCAGACACATAACCTAACCCAAACCCTAACCTGGCCCTGTCCCCAAACTTAACACTAAGTGCTAATCACTATCTCATAACCCTAACCCTAACCCTAAACCTAACACTCTAGAGAGGTCTCTGAACAGCAGAATATCAGGCATAAACCCTCACCCTGTTTTAAACCCCAACTTTAACCCTAATCCTGGCCCTAATTCTATCCAATGGAATATTACGCAGCCACAATGACATGGATAGACCTAGAGAGTATTATGCAAAGCAAAATAAGTCCGTCAAAGACAAACATAAACTACTTCCAGGGTCTAATGAAAGGAACAATCCAAATGACAGCCCTGCCTTAGTTTAAAGCTAGGTTCTCTTTTCTGCTTATTATGGATCTTTGATAAGAAATACAACTGCTGAGAAGTCTGTTTTGCTTGCTGTTTGCTACGAGCATTGTGAAGCCCTTCCTGAATGTAACCCGCTGTGTAGTAGAATGGGTTGTAAACCTTCCTAAATGTAGTCTAATAGGTAATGGAATGAGTAATTGTACATAAACTAACCGGCATTTCTCGCTTCTGTAAACTTGCTTGCTTAGCACATTCCTCACCTACCCTACCCTCTTCTCCCTTCCCCCTTTTCCCTCCCGCCACAAGTAACGGACAAAGCCTTCCCGCCAAAGGACAGACAAAGGACGCCCAATCAGAGAACAACAAATGTCCTTACTTTAAAATCAATCAATCAGGCCCCTCATAATTTGAAACCTCCCCTGTGCTGTTTGTCCCTGTCTATAAAAACGCTGTACCAACCCTGATTGAGGCCTCTTGCGTCACCGGCGACGAGTGCGCAGGGGACCAGGTTCGAACCTGCAATAAATGACCCTTGCCGCTTGGCTTTGACTTACGACTCTGGTGGACTTTTGTGGGAGGTTTTGGAACTTCGGGCATTACACTACTACTGTTTGTTTTACTCAGACATAGTGAAAACTAGTTTAATAATAGTTAAAAATAGTTAATAGTTTAATAATAAGTTAATCAATTTTATGCTCTTAAATCAAGAGTAAGAAAACTAGTGTCCACCAGGCAGAGTCAAACTTGAAAAATCAAAGCTGTAAAAATATAGAAAATTAATATCTATAAAAGGAATATTCTAATTAAGTTACCTTTAAAAATTATTAATTTTATTATCTTGGACTTTCATATAATCTGTGCAATATTTTCTAGGTCTTTTCCTATCCAATTAAAAATATTTTAATAGGAGCTTTTTTCATTTGCTTGGTAGGAGTATCTATCAAAATACCAGTTACCTGTCTTCCAGTAAATGTGCATTATCCATCTTCTATAATCCCATTAGAATAAGCAAGTAAATAAAAACAAAAGGATATACCTAAGCATTTAAAACTAAGCAAAATAAGTCCATCAGAGAAACAGATAATGTATGATTTCATTCATATGTGGAATTTAGGTAATAAAACAAATGAAGGGGAGAGGGGAAGAGAGGCAAACCAAGAAACAGACTCTTAACTAAAGAGAACAAACTGATGGTTACCAGAGAAGAGGTGGGTGGGGGATGGGTTAAATAGCTGATGGGGATTAAGGAGTATACTAGCTCTTATAAACATCAAATGTTGTATGGAAGTGTTGAATCACTTAATCTTATAGCTGAAACTAATATTACCCTGTTTTTTTAGCTAACTGGAATTTAAAGAAAAGCTGGAAGAAAATAATAAGCATAAAATAAAAATAAAAATAATGGAGAATGTTATACATATGCCAAAAAACTTGAACAATTTAATTTTTGTTAACTATAAGAAGAACCAAATGGAAGAATATATTAAAGATCAAGTTGTGACAATCTTTTTGGGGACAACAACATTCTGTTTCATTTCCGGAAGTGAAATGATCCAGGAGTAGATCTGAAAGATGCCTACACATTCCCCTGACTTATAAGGTAACAGACTAGAGACTAAGAAAAACTGGGAGACTGATGGAGAGCAATCCAAATTTTATTGCTCAAGGTTAAATATTAAAATCAACTATGTAAGATGATAAATTCCAGTGGCTGTATCAAACTGAAAGTAGCAATGAGGTGAGATATTTTCACAATGTGGAAAGTTTGCCCCTGTTGTAAAAGAAATCCACATCCGACGTAGAGACTGGACATAACCTGATTCACAAGTTTCAAAGAAAAAATAATACACAGAAATTAAGTTCTATAGGTAAAATTGCTCATAGTTCTAGATTTCTCCCCATTCCCCACAGGGACACTTGGCAGTGATATTCATTATATGAAATACATATCCAAGTTTAAATTTGAAAGAAGGCTTTGAATAGGTAACCTGGAACTAAATGGGCAAATAAAGAAGCATCTTTGCCCCATTTATAGACACACTACAGGCCTGAAATTATATTCATGAATGGGTAAATAAGGAAAAATAAGGTATTTCTTCAAATGGTTATATAAGATGACAACAAGAATTCAGTTAAAAACAGATTAAGCAATTTAGTAAAATCTATTTTATAGTCTCAACAAAATTTAAGAAGACACAAACTTGAAAAACAATCAGAAGGTAAAATAAAAATTTAAAAATGAAAGGATAACCGCTTGGAGAATTAGTAGATAGAGAAATGATGGAAGTAGACAAGTATTCAGGAGAATATAATCTTTCACAGAAGCAACGTAAAGCAGAAGTAATGGTGCAGAAAATAGAATTGGTGATATGGGTTGTGAAGTTCATTTTATACCTTTTTATTGGACTGGAACCTGTCATTTGGTGTTGGCTTTGCCCTTGACCTTTGCAAGGTCAAAGAGAAGGATGTTCATTTCAACATTATTTCTGGAAGCCCTCAATTAATAAATCATCAATGACCATGTGATTTTTTCAATTGCTATTCTATCTAATTAGCAATGTCAGTAATGTTAGTAAAAAGAACAAGACATGCTATTTATATTGTATGTATGTATTCACATATGTATTCACTTTCACTTCCAAGAAGGGATTCTAGATATAACTGAAAGGGTGGGCCTACACTTGCCGACTCCATCTTGTTCTGTGTCCTTCACCTTGACCACGCCTCCTCCCCTTGAGTAACCTCCCGCTCACCTGCCTAACAGGACTTGGACCATTCCCCAGCCAATCGGCTGAGGCCACAGCCATTACCTCACCAACTGCCCCTAGGCCCCAATAAAACCTTTGTCCTTTTGAAACTCGCTCTATCTCCCTGGTATCTCACTGCTGCGTCAGTGCAGGTAGGGGATTGAGCTCGAGCTAGCTTGAAAAAGGCTCTTTTGCTTTTACATCGGACTCGGCTCCCTGGCGGTCTTTGGGGATCGTGAATCCCGGGCATAACATTTGGGGGCTTGTCTGGGATCCCCAACACCCCCGAGGGACCCCCGACCCGGAGAGCCTGACTGGCCACGGTTAGTGTCTGTTCGTTCTGTCTTTTCTGTGTGAGCTCATTTCTGAAATTCTGGTAGTGCCCGACGCGGTCTAAGTGGATGCACTGGGGGACCACGGGCCGGGAGTTTCGGAAGACGGTCCGATCCTCCCTTTTGGAGGGACGTGGAATCCCCTCATTGGTTTTGGAGGGACGTAGAATCCCCTCAAAGGTCTGAGACGAGGCGGGTCGCTCCGGCTGGTCGGCGTGAGGCCGTCGTCTAGCTTTCGGTTTTGGAGGGATGTGAAATCCCCTCATTGGTTTTGGAGGGATGTGGAATCCCCTCAAAGGTCTAAGCTAGCTTTCAGTTTTGCTTCCATGGAGTTGGAAGACTTTCTAGGGGCCCTCTGTTTGTCTGTTTTTGTGTTTCTCTGTTTTGTTCTGTGGACTTACTGGACTTACGGGACGGATGTTATGGGACAGAGTCAGACTACTCCTCAAAGTATTATGATTGATCACTTTAAGGATGTGAGGGGAAGAGCTAACAACCTCAGTGTGGAAGTCCGAAAGGGTCGGTGGCAGTTTTTTTCTTCTAGCGAGTGGCCAACTTTCAATGTCGGATGGCCACCAGAGGGGACCTTCGACCTCCCTACCATCCACTGAGTCAGGAGTATCATCTCTCAGCCTAAGACGGCCATCTTGATCAGCTCCCTTACATTATCACTTGGCAGGACCTTGTAGAAGACCCCCCCCCCCCTTGGGTTAAGCCCTTCCTAGCCCCACTCCCTCCGGAGCCAAAATCCATTCTTGCTTTGCAGGGGACAAAGAAGAAGAAAAGTCTTACCCAGCCTTCAGCACCTCTCTACCCTGTCCTACAAGGGGGGACTGAAGAAGAATTAATTTTTCCTCCCCCATATAACCCCTCTAGGATGCCGGAAGAACACCATCCTCCCCCTCCAGGGGAGGC